TGGTGATTGATGGCGGACTTGTATATAATTACCCCGCTTATATGCAATGAACCATTTCTAAAACTATAATTATTTTAGCCTAATATCAATCTTTAATTATTTAAAATAAAGTTGTTTTTATGATAACTTAAAAAATAAAGAATATTTTTAAAAATTGTTTTGTAATTTTAGTACTTACTTACCCTACGAGTTAGTTATGTTAGTTAAATTATCATACAAAATTATAGGAATTCAGTATTCTTATGTATTAATCTTTTAAGTAAACTTCAATTACTATATAATTTACGAGTTAGTACGTTTTGTAACATTTAGTAAAATATAATTTTTATTAGCAATAAATATCCACATAAAATAAATACTGTATATAATGTAAAATATTAGTTATGTTGTAAATTGGGCATTTTCTTAAGTGTAAAACAAGTGCGACTGATTATTATCACTAATATTGCACTAAATGTCTAGCAACGAACTATACGTACAAATAAAGTTACATTACAAATACTGCATTATACATCTATATTTGTATACTTTTAAATATTAATAAAGTATTTTCTGTATTTGTAATTTGGAAGCAAAAACTATATAAAGAATGAAAATTTGAAATGAAAGTCAAATAAATCAAAATAAATTCAAAGTTTCAAAGAGTCCTAAGAGTGAGATAATCGTTGAAAATGTCATCAAAAGATATCTACGAAGAAGTGAGAAATTCACGCGATTTCACGGGAAAAGTAGTTTTAGTGACCGGTAGTAGTGGTGGTATTGGCGAGCAAACAGTGAAACTATTCTCGGCATTGGGTGCTAGTGTTGTGGTCACCGGTAGGCGAGCGGAAGGGGTCAAGAGAGTGGCCAAAGAAGCTCAAGAATTGTCGCCACAAAAGTTAAAAGTAATTTATATTTATTTTGTATTATAATAATAATAAGTGATTATAATAATGAAAACTGTTTGGACAGCCATTGGAAGTGGTGGCAGATCTGGCAAAGGATGCGGACGTCGAGCGTGTGTTCAATGAGACGGTGAAGACATTCAAGCGATTGGATGTATTGGTGAACAACGCCGGGTCCTACCATTCAGCCAATGGAACCGATAAAGACTTTGTCGATATACTCCAGAAATCCGAGAAAGTGGACGTCCACTCAGCTCTACATCTCATACGACTCAGTGTTCCCTATCTGGCAGAGACTAAGGGACGGGTAGTCAACATCAGCAGTACATACACACAGAGACCGGTAAAGGAAATATAAATTAATAAATGATAAAAAGTGCTAAATATTTGTATAAATTGATAGCAAGTGTCGTACTTAGCGTATGAAATATCCAAACAGTCACTGGAAATGGTCACTAAAGTACTGGCCCTAGAATTGGCTCCAAAGGGCATACGAGTCAATACTCTGAGGTATTCAATAAATACATAGAAACTGTAGAAACATTGAGCAAATATATATTTAAAAATTATTAAATAATTATAAAGTAATTAATTAAAATTATATTAACATTGTGTTCATATAGCG